GAACTAGATGAGCTGTTAACTCTCGCTCTGAATCTTTTTTTGTTTTAATTCTCGCTCTGACTTAGACCGGTTGAAAGAGACACACACATTTTTCCCACCCGCATTCCGCGAAGACCCGCCCTACTGTGCCTCTGATTCGCAGATTGTTTGGGGGGAAAAAACGCTGACTGGATGCTGAATGTGATTGGACCAAAGCGTTGACACACACAGGTGGAACACAGTGGAACAGTCAGACATGCAGAGCGCTGTTTGCAGTGGACATAGCGGAGAATTTTGACTCGTTGTGAATGCGTTGTGGCGATGTCTCACATATAATACAGAGAGATAATACATATGAAAAGTATAATTTGCTCAGAGTCCGGAGACAGTGGTGGTTCGGTCCGGATCCGGACCGGAGTCCGTAGTTTGAGGATGCCTGGTCTAGTGTCATGCCTCTGTTGCATTCACTGAACACGGGAAATTACATTCCTGTCGTCCTCTCTTGTGTCATGATGAATTTCACGTAAAGCACGGTCAATGTATTATATTATTGTGGGAGAATTGTCCGGGGCTACAGAAAAAACATTCGGGGCTTGCCCAGGCCAGGCGACGCCACTGGAGAGTACTAAGGTCTTTTCTCAGAAAGAATTTGCAGGTGCAAAATGGATTAAAAACAAACTAACTGTCATGACTCCAGTGACACACTGACCTATACCGAACAACCATGACATCTCTCTGCTCAGGGAACAATGCAGATGTGGGACTTTAAACTACTCAATATGTACCTACTAAACATTACACAACATGGCATATTGCTGTTTATAGATTAGATTAGTTAACTCTGTCCTAGTATATTTTTAGATTTGTCTTGGTTTCTTTAGGGCCACTGACACTATCACATTTTATAATGGTGTTTAGGGCACTTTCAATTGCAATATTAGAGCTAATTTCACTTCTCATTTGGACCCTTACTTACCTTAAGATGCAATCAATTTAAGATCTTTGTCAAAATAGTCTTAATATCTGAAAAATCCACCTCAAGAGCACTTTGGTGAATTGTTCGAAGAAGGACAATCTTTTCCTTCAACTGATTTCAAAGAGAGTGAGAGTAGCAAATGGCAAGTTCCCATTTCGAGGACACCTACATCTGTGCTATGAATTTAAAAATGAGTCTAATGGATTGGAAATCTGTTCAGACCTGAGCTTGTTAACTTTAATGTCTTGAAAAAATGGTTCCTTCTACACAGTCTCCTAGAAATGCTTCAACTTCTCATCAAATATGAATATATTGAGGTGAAATCGATATGATAATCCAACATACATGCTTTATGACTGAAAATGCAGTTGGCCTTGAAATGAGTTATTTTGGGACCTTTTGTGTCTCGTAAAGCATACCGGCATGGAAAACAAATTATAATAATGCATTCTAAAAGTTATGTGGGGTTGCTGTTATTTGTCTTTATCATGGACAACTTCTCTAACTATATATATTCATGCTCCTCAGGGAGTAAAGACGCAGTAAAGGTCAGCATGTCATTCATCCTCTCAGCAAGAGAGGATATCCTCTGAACACCCTGGACCCGGCAGGAAAATACTGTTATATTCAGGGAAAGGTCAAAGTTTAAATCATTACCCATCTGGATCTAAAAGTTGGTGTTTTGTGTCGGGTTGATTTGTTTGGTTTTTGTGATTATTTGATTGTTAAGATCCAACATAACTAGGGGCTTACAAGTTTTACATCTTTAAGAGAAATCAAAGAAGGTTCCAGATTTGTGACATTAACTGATTAGGATTACATTTGGTTTGTAGATTTTGTTTTACAATAATACATATAAAAAACGTCCATGTATTGAGAGTGGAGCTGAAGCCTGGACGCAATTAGCTTGTCTTAGCATAGCGATATCTAAGGAAGAAAGACAAAACAGTTAACCAGACACTGTCAAAAGTAACAAGTAAGATCCATACCAGTAGACATGCAATATTTTGCCCCCTTTTCCAATGTTTATGCTATGCTAATTGACATAACTGAAATGGTTCTTTCAGTCCAACATTTATCAAAATGTTGCACTGTTCCCTAAAAGCTTTATTTTCCACACAAGAAAGATATTTCCTAGCTTTGATGGGATACAAAGATCCTGGCATCCTTGTTATGTGCCTGCACTGATGATGCTATTCAGGTGTGTTTCAGTTCAGAATCAAAGCACATGCAGTAAATGTGTGGGTTGTAAAAAAAGAAAATCTCTCTCATTCATTCAACAGTTAGTGTTGTGGTCACACATGAGCTAGAGTGTAATAGATGGACACCATAATAGGTGCATTAAAAAAAAGAAGAGAAAAAACATAATGAAGCCAATTATAAGATGAATAAATCTGTTGAATTTGACAGTCTGTGAAAGACCTGTCACATTTAGTACACACACGCACACACACACACACACACACACACACACACACACCACACACACACACACACACACACACACCCCCCCACACACACACACACAACACACACACACACACACACACACACACACACACACACACACACACACACAGACACACACACACACACACACACACATACACACACACACACACACACATACACACACACACACACACACACTGTTACAGCCGCTGCTACCTTGTGCCCTTAACTCTGGTTGTGTGTAGATGTAAATGAGCTGTGCAGTTCATCTGCTATCATTGGCCGTCCCGACCTCTCAACATCCGCGGGGATTGGACAGACGTCACCCAATCCCTGCTCGCTTCTGCCACGTCATCCGGGGGAGGAGTATAAAGGCTGGGCACGGACACCATTCGGGAGGCTCTGTATTGTGTGACAGATGCCTCAACCCTCTCATTGTGACAAAGCCTTCGTTCTGTGATTCTGTTAGCAGTGTGTTTTCTGTGCCTCGTTAGACTGCTTAGCAGTGTGTTGTAGCATTTTGTGAGTATTGCTTAGACCCAGGTGATTAGCGCCTGTAGAGCAGCATTCTTGTGTGTATTGCTTAGACCCATGTGATTAGCGCCTGTAGATCAGCATTCTTGTGTGTATTGCTTAGACCCAGGTGATTAGGGCCTGTAGATCAGCATTCTTGTGTGTATTGCTTAGACCCAGGTGGTTAGCGCCTGTAGATCAGCATTCTTGTGTGTATTGCTTATACCCAGGTGGTTAGCGCCTGTAGATCAGCATTCTTGTGTGGATTGCGTAGATCCAGGTGATTAGCACCTGTAGACCCGCACCAGCTGTGTTCTTCCACAGTCCGTTTTGTTTATTGTTTTGTTTCCACTTTAGAAGTGAGATGTTCTTTCCTTTTGTATAGCGGGGCAACTCTCTTTTGGAGACTCAGGTGATTAGCGCCTGTAGATCAGCATTCTTGTGTGTATTGCTTAGACCCAGGTGGTTAGCGCCTGTAGATCAGCATTCTTGTGTGGATTGCGTAGATCCAGGTGATTAGCACCTGTAGACCCGCACCAGTTGTGTTCTTCCACAGTCCGTTTTGTTTATTGTTTTGTTTCCACTTTAGAAGTGAGATGTTCTTTCCTTTTGTATAGCGGGGCAACTCTCTTTTGGAGACCCCTTTTGTTGGATAGTGACAGCTTGACCCGTTGTTGGGCCAAGCTGTTTGTGTAGCCTACATCATTTTACTTACTTGCAGTATCAATTAAACCACCGGTAACGTATACCAATTCCAATCTGGTCGTGTCGTGTCCTTTTGGTCCTCCTAGCCCAATTGGGAATGTGACACACACACACACACACACACCTCTTGACTCTTGTTGTGAGGTAACTGCTGCTCTCTCCATGTTCCTCTTCAGCTAGAGTCGGTATTCGTTGATGGCTGAGTCACCGTTTTTCTCTGATGTCACTGCAGACAGAATCGCTAATGACCCAACTCACCTCCGACCGGGCTGTCTGCCTGTCTGAGGATGAAAAAAAAATCCCTCAGCCATTTCAGTGCTTTAATGGGACTGCATGGGTTCACTAATACACTTAAAGACAGTCTACTCCCTGCTATATGTTCAAACTGCTTACAACAAAACTTTTAAAGGGTTTCTCAAAATTCAAAATATACTCTGTGCATTTCCAATTTACCAAATGAAATGCATCTATTGATTCTGCATGTTTAAACCCTTACAAAAGACTTCTCCTGTGCTAAGAAAGAGCTTGCATGTTTTGTGTTTGGTTCTCTATAAAGCAGGTCTATAAGCAATTAATCATACTGCTTCTGTTTGAAGGACACAGAGTATAGGGTCGTGTCCTCTCGGTGTAATGCAGCATCTGTGAATGTGCTCGTGGTCCTGTTTGTGGACAAGACAGATGCTGTGAAGTGGGGCACAATGTCACACCATATCTTAAGTCATTATGTAACCTGTCAGTTTGCATGAAGATAAATCGTCAAAGACAAAAATCAAAGGGGGTTCTGTCGTTGTGTGGGAGAATAAATGTATTTCGTACAAGAAGGTGGAAGACAGCCTGAGTGAATTCTTCCCTCCGTACAGAGAGTACAAAGGCAACATTTCAAACAAAGCATATAAGGTAAAGACAATTTAAGTGAAGGTGTCGATGCTGCTGAGTCCACACCGCGCTTGTGAGCCATGAAGAACATTTTGTAGCTTATGACTCAGAACATTTTGTCGCCCTGATCCATTATCAGCCAGTGCCTGCCGTTGTGTTTATGTGATTACAACACCTTTGTGTTTTGTATAATTGAGCGGCACAGAACAGCCTGCTGCAGGTTGTTCTGGGACAAGTGCAGTCTAATTGTTTTGAAAAAATGGAAAGTGGAAATTTACTATGACAAATTTCTAGCCTGGGAATGCAATATGACAGTAAACTAAACACTACCATTATCATGAGCACTGTAGTTATTACTAAATGTGTATTAATCTGTCACTGAAAATAGTCCCCAACAAATGTTTGAATAGCATGTGACATACATTTGCTGACAATAATGACAATATAAAATGATGCCATACATGTCAAAGAGTTGAAATAAAACAGAAGACTTCAGAGCCTTTTTGCATATAAAATATTTTATTCTAAATCTTCTGAAAAGTTTGTCATGATTTGAGTTGACACACTGACATTTACATATGGACATACTTGAAACATATGGTTGCCAAACGGTTGTCAAAAGCAAAGCCAGCAATTATTGACGCACCTGAGCTATAACTGGAACTAACATTTAGAGTGGCATGCAACACTGAAATCATGTTAATTTATAAAATGTGCATGTGTGTTCATAACCCATTACATGTATATTTGCGCATTTCTACAAATGGGTGATTGGCAATTAAAAACTGAGTAAACTGTTCATTTTGTTTACCTTGACATATTGTGTCACATTTAAAAAATATTTTTAAGCATACATTTTAGAAAGTTAACCAAATCCAAACCAAAGATTTAATGGACCTCACATTTTAATTACAACTGTCTGAAATAACACTGTTATTATAATTGTTATGGCCTCAGGTCTTTTTATTAAAATGAGGGCAGTGGCTTAAAAAAGCCTTCCGCTGATATCACAGCATAAATCACAGCGTTAAATCATGAATGTGTTTACATTAATAAGAAAGCTCATTTGTGCCGTCATGAATGGATAGGTACATTCAGCATGCTTGAACTGGGATTTTGATGCAGCCAAAGACTTGATTAAAAACTGTCACCCGATGCCCGTGAAAATACTGTGGGAGGAAATTAAATGAGTTTTGATAAACCCCATGGGCTTGCGCACTCACACGTTCATTTTTGCATACACACTCTACTATAAACCCTATCATGCATGGGTATCCTTATATATGGCCTAGAATGGCTTGACATATTACATAACGTTCCATCGACAGCACTCTTTGACTCTCTACAGTACTGACAGCTCGCCTTTCAGTGGCTGTCAATCACACGGCCCGCTGGGAGAAAGCAACGGGACGACTTCTGAGGGCTCCGCTTTGAAGCTGCACTAAGGCTGGGAGTGCTTTCCCCAGGCATAAATGTACTAGTAGTCTGTTGCAACTCACTGTAACATATTGTGTGTGTTTTGATGCTATTGATTGTGTCTGAGAAACACAAGGAGATAGCATAATGGTATTTTTAGAAAGCCAACCATGTTGGATAGAGTATCTCTTCCTTATTTTGTTCACAATGTCTTCGTGGATCCTCTTTGACTTGATTGCACATGACAGCTCATGACCTTACAGTCAGTACTCAGCCTTAGGACAACCTTTTCAAGAAAACCAGGAACATTTGAACAGAGAAAGAGAGCAAACTTGTGACCTGGGTTCCACCAGCCATTCTTAAATCCATTGCTACGTTTGTGTGATTTGACCTACAAATATATCTCCATGTAAGACTTAGTCTCTTTTGGGCAATTGGTCACAGACAAAAAAAAATAAAATCTCCACTTAATCACTTAAAGTTACAATTAGGTTACATTTTTGAACCTATGAAGAGCTGGTGCAACTGGTCCTCCTGCCACACTTTTATGCAAAACATACTCTCTTTTTCACCTGATAACCCATACATTATAGACATCTGGTATAGCAGATAGGCTTAGTTTGCCACATACAGCATACTGTCTTGTAAGTCACGCTATATTGTATTTACTGTTTACTGTAATGCTACAAAATGTCTATAGCACTAGCAAATATATTGAGAATATGACAGGATATCATACTGGATTAAAAAATAAATAAAAATTCCATAAAACACAATTCAAACCTTTCAACTTGGAGAAACCAGAGCCTTAAATGTCATAAAGATCTGTTAATTCCCATCCTAATTGAAAAAAAAAGCCTGTATAAAATATTAAAATAACATGTTCTGCCTGATTTTCAGTATTAAATATCAAAATAATATGTGTTCCACCAACTGTACCTTGAATGACTTTGTCAATTTAATTGTATTTTATTAATTGTAATGCATTATAATTAATTTTCTAAATGCAAATAAGCTTTGGCAATACGAACAGTGGTATGTCGGGCAAAAAAAGTCATTTAAATGAACTGCACCATGACATTCCTATCATTTACATCATCTCTAATCAACGCACTATGAATCAGCCGCAGAGAGGAGTTTATTTAAATCAACGCTTCTAATTAAACGTGATGCGACTGATAGACCTAATGGAGCCTGGATATTTAGTCACCGCAGTGAGACAGCAAACAGCTCACTGATGATGTACATTCAGTTTTGGCAAAGCATAAAGAATATGTGAAAAGCGTGAATAAGCAACAGTTACATACATGCTAGGGTTTGTTTCCTCCTGGGGAAAAATCAGACAGTGATGATGCACCAAGCTCTCTGTATCAGTTTCATGAAAAAAAACCCATAACATAGGATTCAATTTCAAGAAATAACTGGAAGCACTCCCGATCCTTTGAACGCAGCATCTCTGATTCTCTTTCAGAGAAATAGGATCATTACTTTGGTATAAGGGAGATGGGTTGTGATCAGTGAGCCTGGCTCTGTGTGGTAAATGTAACTCCTTTAACACATTAGGACTGCTGTGAAATGGCTAATGGCACTGGCAGACAGAGAGGTGACATTTCCCCAGTTGTTAAGAAACAGTTCCTTTACTGCATACTTTAAATTCCTAAATGAAAATGTTGCGTTTGTCTTTATTCAAAGAAGCCTCCTGAATATGCCTTTTTTACTACTGTGCTCATAAATAACAAGTATGAGTGGACAAACAAGTGTAGCTCAGTCCGTCATGCATCATCTTCACATGTTCAGCTTCGTTCTTCGTAAGGCACAAGTGGATTATTCCTTAGGGTGAGAAGCTGAATGTTATTAATGGAGCGACACAAATGTCAACATTCATATCTTAAGCGAGGACAGACTGATCAGATGCAAGGCATATAAAGTCATACTGGAAGAAGTGTAAACTATAAAGAAAAAAAGCCAAGTTCCTTAGTGTAACCACAGGACTGTTTTTTAGCAGTGAGGATCCTCTTTATCTGATGCAGATTTCAGGGCCTCAGGAAATTTAACAAGAGACGAGCTACAGATACATAATTGCTTTCTAAGTTTGATGGATGTATTTATTACTGTATTTTCACAGGCTTGTTTCTGAGTATATGAGAAAAAGATGTCCAGTATGTTGCTACCTCAATATGGGCTTTAATTTCCTTCCTGCTCGTGAGATAAGTTTGCGAACTCAAGCCGCTGATACAATAATTAGTTCCAGTCCGGACCTCGCTTCTAATTTGGCTCGATCGCTAGCACAGCTGTCGATCATGTTGGCACAGACACAATGAAAGCAAGTCGGCGTCCTGCATTGAAACAATGGAGGCTGTAGCTGGCACATCATGAGGTTTAGTTTGATTTTTCAAAACACGCACATAAGAGTGCGCAGCCGGGCGATTAATCTGTGTTGAAGTCACTTTCAAGGTTTTCAACCAATGATCGGAGCACGATCCAATCAATGAATGCACACTGGCACCGTATCACAGAATCTCATTCAATAAGCACAAGAGGGCCTTTGTGTTTGTAACTCCTGTCCGCTGTCCCTGAATCTCATATTCACGCCGCTCCTTAATTGAGACTTTCGATGATGGCGAACTCCCGCCTGTCAGCGTAGTCCGGGCTGAGGCCGTTCAGGTACAGGCTGTCGTTCCTGGCCAAGGACCCCGTGACGGGACTGAGGGAGAGAGTCAAGTTGGGGTAAGCCTCCCTGTCCTCACACAGCGTGGTGGACAGCGACCTCTTGCCAGGGGTCATCTCCTGGTTGATCCCTAGCTCGGAGGACAGCCTGCGCTTGATGGAAGCAGCGCGTTGGAACTTGTCGTGGATGTCAACGCTGAGTCGCCGCCGGGTCTCTTTAAACTCCGCCGACACGTTTGCTGTCCACTCGGCTGCATGAGCCCGAAACTCCCCAACCTGCAGAAAGAGAATTAGGATTATTGTTTGTAGATTATCAAAATGTTCCTCTCTACAATGTACATACATGCTACATTGTTAGCATGCATGCTTAATAAATATACCTCAAGGTTAGTGCAAGTGTTAGAAAAATATCACTCGTTGCCGGCTTGAGCTTCAATAACAGGATACATGTATTTATTAATCCTTGCAAGAATGGAAGTAGTCATCACACACAGAGCATATGGTACAACTAGTTCCAGAACATTGTCCTTCACATGCTTATAAGAGAGGGTGTATCACAGTCACAAGATGCAGGAATACCGGTCCAAAGCAGTATTCAATGTTTAGTTCAGATTAGCTAAAGCCCAGGTCAGAAATGATCATGCTTGTCATATGCCTATCTCCATAAAGGCTGAATCATCATGTTAATCGTTGTCACATAGCTAGCATATGCCTAAAACTGCTGTCCTGACGCTCTTCTGGTTTCAAGGCAGGTCACTCCACAGAAACTGCTCTCATTGCTGTCACGGAGGAACTGCACACTGCCAAAACTGCATCCCTCTCCTCTGTCATCATCCTGTTGGACCTGTCTGCTGCATTCGACACGGTGAATCATCAGATCCTCCTTCGCACTCTCCAAAAACTTGGAGTTTCAGGCTCTGCACTTTCCCTCATCACCTCATACCTGAAAGACCGTACCTACAGGGTGACTTGGAGAGGGTCTGAGTCCCACCCTTGTCAATTAACTACAGGGGTCCCTCAGGGCTCTGTTCTTGGTCCCCTCCTCTTCTCCCTGTACACAAACTCACTTGGATCAGTCATTAGCCCGCATGGTTTTTCATACCACTGCTACGCTGACGACACCCAATTAATTCTGTCCTTTCCCCGCTCAGAGACCCAGGTCGTCGCACGCATCTCTGCTTGTCTAGCTGACATCTCTCAGTGGATGTCTGCTCATCACCTCAAGCTCAACCTTGACAAGACTGAACTGCTCTTCCTTCCGGGAAAAGATTGTCCCACTCTTGACCTAACAATCAACATCGGCACCTCAGTTGTTTCCCCGACTCAGACTGCAAGGAATCTGGGTGTGACCCTAGATAACAACCTGTCCTTCACTGCAAACATAGCTGCCACAACCCGTTGCTGCAGATACACGCTTTACAACATCAGGAAGATACGTCCCCAGCTGACACAGAAAGCGACGCAGGTTCTGGTCCAGGCTCTCGTCATCTCACGCCTAGACTACTGCAACTCCCTCCTGGCTGGTCTACCTGCATGTGCCATCCGACCTCTGCAGCTCATCCAGAATGCAGCGGCTCGTTTGGTCTTCAACCTTCCTAAATTCTCCCACACCACTCCGCTCCTCCGCTCCCTTCACTGGTTTCCGGTAACTGCTAGAATCCACTTCAAGACACTGGTACTTGCATACCATGCTGCGAATGGATCTGGCCCTTCGTACATCCAGGACATGGTTAAAACCGTACACCCCAGCGCGTGCACTACGCTCTGCAGCAGCCAAACGACTCGCTGCGCCCGCGCTGCGAGGGGGACCCAAGTTCCCATCGGCAAAAACACGTGGGTTTGCTATCCTGGCTCCAAGATGGTGGAATGAGCTCCCCATTGACATCAGGACAGCAGATAGCTTGCACATCTTCCGGCGCAGACTGAAAACTCATCTCTTTCGACTCCACTTCGAGCGATAGAACTATTAACAAAGCACTTATATACTAATAAAGGACTGGCTTATCTAAAGCCAGTTGAGTAGCACTTGAAATGTTTTGGCTCTATGAAACCTGATGTACTTATATGATTCTGTTTTCTTCAAGGTTGTGTCTTCCTGGTCGAATGTACTTATTGTAAGTCGCTTTGGATAAAAGCGTCAGCTAAATGCAATGTAATGTAATAATGTAATGTAATCATATACACCCTGTCATGTACGCAGTTACAGTTGGGCCTGTGTTATCATGTGCTGCTCTGATACTGGAAGAGTACATTCAGTATTTTCCCAACAGCAAGGTAAGTAGATTGTCAATAAATTATTATGGTGACCATATAAGATCCACGGATACAAGCGGCCGAGATGGGTTTTCTCCGCAGGGTGGCTGGTGTCTCCCTTAGGGATAAGGTGAGAAGTTCGGTCATCAGGGAGGGACTCGGAGTTGAGCCGCTCCTCCTTCGCGTCGAAAGGAGCCAGTTGAGGTGGTTCGGGCACCTAGTTAGGATGCCACCTGGGCGCCTCCCTAGGGAGGTGTTCCAGGCACGTCCAGCTGGGAAGAGACCAAGGGGTAGACCTAGGACCAGGTGGAGGGATTATATCTCTTCGCTGGCCTGGGAGCGCCTTGGGATCCCCCAGTCAGAGCTGGTTGATGTCGCCAGGGAAAAGAAAGTTTGGGGCTCTCTGCTGGAACTGCTACCCCCGCGACCCGACCACGGATAAGCGGGAGAAGATGGATGGATGGATGGATATAAGATCCACCAATAATCACCTGTGAAGCTTACGAACACATTAGAGGGTGTCGTTTTTCTCATACTGATATTCTGAACAATCTGTGCTGTTGTATTTGCTGTAAAGTGTCTCTACTGTAGGCTATTTTTTATTATATGTACAGCACTTTGGCTCGACCAAAAATCGTTTATAAATGTGCTATATAAATAAAACTTGATTTGATTTGATTATCCTCTTAGCTAAATGGCTGCTGGCTGTATGAATTTACCGAACAGATACTGAAGTGGTATCAATCTTCTAATCTAACTCTAGGCAGGAAACCAAGTAGGCATTATATTACATGTCAGTTATCTGACGCTTTAATCCAGAGCTACTCGCATACAGCTCAATCACCATAGACGTACGGGAGCAGTTTGCGAGCTATCTTGCCCAACAACACGTTGACATGTTGACTGCAGGGGCTGGGGATCGAACTCCTGACACTCTAATTGGTAGATGTCCAATTACCCTCTAAACCACAGCCATCTTGGCACATTTCCCAACATGTTTGGTATTGGCATAAGAAGCTGAAATTGTAATGATATAGAAGAAAAGGATTTATTTTCTTTGTGAATAAGTCTACGAAGTAGGGTAGTCAAGATGTAATTTCCTCTTTTTCTACACATTTGTAGGCAGTTGGTGAGAAGTGTAGACATGTTCGCACATTACCCACCCACCACTTCACAGTTAAAGTTATTTCTGAACTGACATCAATAAATAAACTGAATGCCCTGTGTGTGCGATCTAATGGCCCAGGTTTGTGGAAGCTGTGAATTTATTTATTTCTAGTCCTGAAGTAGCAATGCAGGAGAGAGCAACAACCACATAATTGATCTTGCCTTCATATTGCATTAGGCCTCTTTCTTTAGGCTGTTTAAGTATCTATGAGGCTCTGAGGTGTGCTGCTTGTAAAGCCACTTTTGAGTACTAAGATTAACATTTATGAGGTATGGGTTTTGTCCGTGTGTGCACACAAGACACACAATAACACTACAGCACAAAAACTTGAGTACGTGCTTTCTCCTCCTTGTTATCACTTACTCTGCCGAATCCTTCTCCCCCCTCCTACTTCCCTAATAACCTCCCACTGAAACCTCATCCTCAGCTCACAGCCTAAGAAATCACACTCCTAATAATGCCTGGGCAGGATTTACACTCCAGATCGCAGTATGATCTTATGTTCTAAAGATGAAAGAAATAGCATTTGAATGTGTCTTGTTTATCTAGGAGATTGAGTGAGTATCTTGAAGTGAGTGTCTCTCCATCCGTTTCTCATGTAAATAATTAATCTGCCAGAACGGGGGTTTTTGTTATTACTCAGCAGCATCTGGAAACACATCAGATATGTAATCCTCCACATGCACGAGATGGCATTTACTTCACAAGGTGCAGGAAAAGAGATTAATCACTTCAGATGAAAGAGTGATCTGTACAGCAGTGTGACTATCATTGTAAGGGAAGATGGATGTAATCACACCTGAACTTACTGCAAATGTCTCTCTACCAACAATTGATCATGTATCCAGTTAGTTAGGGTTTAACATAAAACAGCAGCAACATTAAGTGGTGTAATGCAGGTTAATAGCCAACTTGCATGAAATGTATTTTAATTGTGTTATGAGTCCCTAATAAGTACATTTTCTTTTTTAGAACTAAGAAAATACATCTTATCTTCTGTAATGAAGCTTTATCTGCACTGGAAAAAATGCTGCTCCAAAAACAAGTTAAACAATAATGAAAACAAGGTGTTTTCACTTGAAATAAGTACAAACATCTGCCAATAGAACAAGTGAACATTTGCTTGGTAAGATTCCTTGAAATAAGAAGGATTATTTAGATGAATCAGATCTTGTAATTAGCTGGCAGAACTTATTTTGAACTATATTTGACCAGAATCAGGGAAATTACAAAATAAACCGCTAATGCTCAAAAGTGTTCTGTTTTCAGATTTTCCAGTCTTTCATCTGAGATACAACTCAAAATAAGATTATTTGACTTAACAAGATGAAGCATTGTCTAAAAACAAGACCCAATATCTCACTGCATTGTTCTTCTGAAGTTATTATGTCAAGTGTAAAGACATATTCTGACTAGATATATTAGATCAATATACTGGGCAAGATTTTGAGTTGTTGTAGTGTGGACAGCTGCATCTTGCTTTATTAAGCAATTAATTAACTCTGGATGTGTGTGACATAACGTGTAGCACATCAGTACGTACCTCCTCTTTAGTTTTCTTGGATATGACCCGGAACCAATCTCCAATCATACTGAGCACAGCAGCAAAGTACGCCAGGCCCACCAGGATCCAGAACCACACCACGGGCTTGTAATAGTTCAGAAACTCTGGATTATCTGACCCACCTGCTGTGACACGACAAGTGGGTTATATAAATTAGATTTTCCTGGGTTACATGTGTTACTTACCAATTAAAAACAAAAACCAAGCAGGCTTGAGTCCTGAGCAAGTCCACATGGTAGGAATATATAATATAAAGAGGGGGGTCAAATTGAGATGATCTAGAATTAAAATGATCCTCACTATTATTCGTAGAGCAACATTGTAAATATTTAATCTGACAATCACATTTTTAACATTGTTATTTATAAAATAGGTTAAAGTGCATTGTTAAAAATACAATATGGTGGATTTGCTCCATGTGCCACTTCATTAAAATCCAAGTCAAAGTATTTGAGTATTTTCTTTTCTTCTTAAGTGGGGATATTTTGTTCAGTGACATAAGAAAAGGTCTTTAAAAAGAGTAAATATATATATTTTTTTATTCCTTTTTTTTTTTTTTTTTTGGTTTCGCCCGTGTGGGCATGTGCGGGTGGAGGGAGGGAGGGGGGAGTGTAGTGAGTGAGTGTACTGTGATATTACAATATAAATGAAATGGCATAGATTACTGTACTCTATGATGAAATAAAAAGAAGAGTAAATTGGGTATTAAAGGAATACTATATATGAAACATGTCTGATACGACACTTTATGTAGTACTGGATGCATCTTGCCAGTTGCATAAACTGGCGCTGCCCTCCAATAATAAAATCAGTCATAGTCCTCTTCTGTATTTATGGAAGAGCCTTCAATAAATCAACTGGTATGATGCAGCACAGACAGCCCGCTCGCTGTGCAGTTAAATAAACAGCCATTACAGCTCCAGCTTCAGTGACAGTGGTCCAGGCTCACTTTACACCACCTGGGCCAGCTCCAGTAACAGTGGTCTAATCTATAATCATTAGACCCATTGAGGGAGATTTAATCTAGCAGCTAAGTGGTTGTGATTTTTCCCATCTGCCTGTACCGGTTTGGTAGTCAAGCAGGAGGAGTCAAGCTGATACCGCCTGTCAAACTATTCTTTTAGATGTTGCAGGTATTGGGATGGCTTTGATAAATGCTCCAAAAGAGAAATATTGTGTTTATTCTTTTGTATATGATGTATTTCATAGCCTGAGATTCCTATTACTTGAAGTTACATCATGTTATGTGAAAACTGTTTTATTTTGTATTGATGTAGTAATGAGTGTAGACTCCTTGTTTGACAGATGGGATAGTTCAACATATTGCAGGGATTTAGATGCATTATAAAAAAAGTGTCAGAACACATGTGGCGCACATCTGTCGAGTCACACTATCTGAGGGAATAACTCAATAAATCAGAAGGAAAATCTAAAAACCTTTTTCCCCAGCGACAAAGTCCCCGAAGCCGATCGTGGTGAGGGTGATGACAACAAAGTAGATGGACTCCAGAGTGCTCCAGCCCTCAATGTGCTTGAAGATGATGACTGGCAGCGCCACGAAGATGAGGCACCCGAACAGGATGAAGATCAGAGTGGAGATAACGCGGATCTTCGTCTGGCTGACCTTCCACTTCTGGTTGGAAAGAGAGGAATAGCTGATACAAAGAATAGATGATACAAAAACATTTAACACTATATAGTTTAAGGCAGATTTGTAGCATAAGACAAAGGAAATCAACATGTGGCAGATTTAACACTACATCATTTCGCAGTGATTTCTTTTTTCTCCCTCTCACATTGGGAATCACTTCCTTCACCATCTTTCCAGAAATACAGTTGCTATTTTGTAACATCTCAAACGTAAGTCTGCCAAGTTCATGTGACATAACTTTCTCGGTCAGATGGCACGCCCACCCGAGCGATCATAAATGGATGCATTGCAGTTACAGCCTGTGCTGTCAGCAGAGATTTTTTGAAAGACAGGATCCATGAAAACCCTCTTTTGAAACACAGGTACTCAACATAGGAGTGGTTTCTAAATCCAGTCTTTCTCTGTGCTTCTTTTCCACTTGATGTGACTGCTTTTAGCTGGTTTCCCATGCATCGTGCCCTTTTCCCTTCCAGTTATGTAAGACCAAAGCAGAGTCTCTGAGGGGAAGCATAAAGAGCAGACAGGCCTCACTTCACTGAGTCTGTGATGTCTAATGTACCCGCTGCACACAGAAAAGTACAGTGGTATACAGTTTGAAGACCAACAGTGAGTCCTATAAAACCCAATTAGCTGAAGACAAAGCATTAATGCATTCCAAAGGGACTTGTGAAGCCGAGTTGGTTTTCCAGCCAGTATCTTCAGTTGCACAGCAGCTGCTACAGTCCATATATTCCCATTGTTTCCAGCCAGCTGCCTTCATCCCTCCTCCTGTTCAGGGAGGGAAGCCACAGAGCCAGGGATAAATCAAAAGGATCTTAACTAACCTGATACTTGAATAAATATTGCTAGTGTAAGTGATTTTACATGGACCAACGAGGCCATGTAAAATGGAAATTAGAGACTGTTTTGGTCTGTCTTTTATCACAGCATTACAGGTGTTTGATGATTGCACACAGGTACAAAGTGACATCCTATTTAAATGAGCTCTGGTAGAAAAACTACATTATAAAGGACTCTCTACTCCTGCTACTGCATAGGTTATTTGCAAAACAGTGTTTCCTTTAAATTATGTAATGATGTATTTGCAAGAGTAAATAAAAAATGCAACTCATATTTATAAACATAATTATGAGGCCATGTTTGTTAAAGTATCGGGGAAGTCACACAGTGTTTACACTAGTTAAATGTTACATGACAGCATTTCAATTTTAGATTTTGTTTTCCAGATACATTGTCCTTTAATAGCAATAAATGCCTTACTCAAATCTTTTATGGTTTTGTTTAGGCACTCACAACACTTGGTTAAGGATAGGGACGGATTGTTTTTGGATAAATATTGAAAATGTCAACACTGATTAACTTTTTATTTGCTTGTTTGATATCATTTGAATGTTTTCTTAATGTCTTATGTGTAATGTATTTATATGCCCCTATAAACCACTTTAAATTCCCTTATGTCTAAATGGCGCTAAATAACTAAACTGGCATTGCCTTAAGGCACAAGAAAGGGTGTGTGCACTTTATTAACATTAATACAAAACCTCAATCTTTTCCTTACCATAACCAAAGTGGATCTGTTACATAAATCTAACTCTCTGTATCCCTGGCTCTGATTGCAGTCATTGGGGAACTCCGTCATCTCGGACGTAAAGACGGCTGATTGGGTTAATAACACCACCCCGGCAGTCGGAACTCAGGGTGCAAAACGGAAAAACTATTTCCATCTGCATTGATCCAATTGGTCCCTGATATTAGCCGGTTTTGACTCTTTAGCCAACACACTGCACATGTCTCCATTCACAGTGCTGTGACACCCAGACGCACTGATGTTATCTCATCATCTAATATATTCTTCGCACTACATAAATTGATGTGTAACTGCAAGCATCTGTGCTGTTTTTTCTTCATGACACACGCATTTGGAATTATTTTCACTCCTCTGCGTTCTGACGACTTGTGCATTAATGTAACTGTCGCTCACTTCAGGACAAAAGCCTCACTTTATGATTCAATTTATCATACGCCACCACACACGGCAACATCCTCGCCTTCATTTTAACGATTCACATGAATATACTGTTACAAAAAAATCAGCTTCACTGCATCCTTTACTTACTTGTACTTAGGGTCTTATATTTTATCATAGTAACCAAGCCATTTTAGCTACTATAATTGGTTTAAAATCTGTTCCTGCACCTCTATGTTTCTTTGCCTGCTTTTATTGTCTCCTTTTTATACTGCGAATGTTATTATTTATCTAACTTCATGTGCATTGTATTACGCATATACTTTTTTCAAATCTGTTTGTCTTCATTTTATCACTTGAGTGCCTTGTTTTTCTACATATTGTTTGAAGATCATTGCAACTTTGTGTGCCACTAATGGCAAATCAAAATGTCCCATGTGGCATAAAGTGTGTCTTATTATCTTAACCGCTTTTTATTGCATCTGTGGGATTAAATGTAATATAGATTTTTGTAATTACGATTTATTATTACCCTTCCAGTCTTTTTGTTGAATGCACAGTCAATTTAAAAAAGCATTATAAAAAGCACCTCTACAGTAATTCTGGTACAAGAACAAGCAAAATAGGAAAGTATTTAATTTGTGAAGATGAAATACACTCACTGGTGTCAGATAAAATCCTAATTGGCTTGCACATGGGGCAGCTGTTCCACTGCTTTCATTTTTCACTTGGAACATTCTCCATGAAAACCTTAATGACTAAGCATCAACCCGACTGTCAGGCAGAGTCTATTTCCATTCTGTCTACCATGACAAATGGTCCCTTCTAACTTCTATGGCTGAAAAAAACTCATGTGAATGTATATACTGTTTTTGGTTGTATAGGGACAGAAGTGATACATCTTTGTGCTGCTGGTTTATTCCACTGCCACAAAAAAGAAATAAGGTAAGAAAAGGGCAGTGAGTTCAGCACAAAGTGCAAGCAAAGCAACACTTATCTTTACCGATCTTATATTGGTTGAAAACAACTGTTTATTTACTGCTCTAGGCTTTCAATACTGCAACAAACCATCTGCACTTGAGTGGTTTCCAGGTTTGTTGATATGGCAACCCAAAACCTGCATCCAACTTTAATCACTGACTGCTGTAGCAAAGTGTATAATATTGAATGTGAATCTTCAGCTGTATTATTTAGCTGTTCTTTATAACAGCGCAGGCAATATGACTTTACAGCTGTATTGGCATCACCTGGATAATTACATGTGATGGTGTTGTCTGTATTTAAATAGCTAACTACACCCAGGAAAACACACAGCGAGGTGATTCAGAGACAAAAACAAGCTCGTATATATATACGAAGGAGCTCACCACAATCATCTTCTCTACTTTGGCGATGCCCTTCCCAAAAATGGTCCCCAACTGGTCCCCGACACCAGCCAATAAGAATCCAAACAGGGGAATCCCAAGCAGAGCGTAAATAATACAGAAGATCCGCCCACCTTCTGTGTGAGGAGAGATGTTCCCAAATCCTAACAGAGAAGAGACACAGATAGTTCATTAGCTCATCAGGCAGCATTTAATTCAAAATGTCGATATAAATCAACTGCAACATAGCAAAGTAGTGTGTATGTTGTTTCCTTATACAAGTCATGGTAAAAAGCTACAAGACTGGGACTCTAGTATGCAGGTTGACACTACTGGGGATGTCATGTTTCCTAAAAGTATTGCTACTTTCTTCAGGAGGTAAATATGTTGAAATGTTTTTTTACACTTATATAAATATAGATCATCTTCTGTGTGCTTATTTTATTTCATAACTGTATGTTTAGCAATTGTACTTGGTTTACTTTATCTTTTCAAACTGGACTTTTCCCCTGTTCCTTTATACCACCCTAAGACTGGATATTTTTTTTGCTTTATTCCCTTTATTGCTTACACATGTTAACGTACAGTATGTGGAATCTTTCAGTGCTGTGTAAAAACCATGTCAACTTGCATGGAGCATTTTGCTTTTGATTGCATCACTGAACTTTGTGAGTTGACGCAGTGTAATGAAGGGTCGTTGCGTCTGGTGTGATCCCATTGCAATATGGCCTCCAGTTTATTTATGCTGTGAGAATTGTATTTATCTTTTTGTAATATCAGTGTGCACATTATGCAGTCTTCTACACTTGCCTGGTAGGCAACAGAAAGCAATTTTGCAAGAAAGACTGTAAACGTTTTGTGGCTTCAACAAGCTCACTCTGGTGCCTCACAATAAAGCTCTGAAAGAAAGTCCTGGGAAGTCTGGTAAGTGTCCTGTTTGTTGGACCTTCTGTGGCTAATTAGTCTACATCCTATTTCATTAAAGTTGGCAGAAGAAGTTATATTTCTGGCTCTACAAGAACGCTTTCCACAAAGCCTGGCTGTGCTTTAACATCACTGCAGACAGACAGTAGAATAGCTGAGGGCTTTGAGACATTTCAGCAGTGAGACATTTAATTTGTACTATACTACTAACCGAGTCAGGCAAAAGTTTATAACACCCCCTCAGTCCTCGAGCAAGTCTGATGTGAATTTAAAATGATATGAACACCAAAAATGAAAGGAAATACAGTACGCTGTACGTAGTAGTAGTAGTATAACAATATATCTATGCACACACAAAAGCAGATAGGTCTTATAGAAGTCAGTACAAAGACAAGACAATCTTTAAAGATGACTCCACACACTTAACAATATGACTTTCATTATTTAACAATTCCTAATGGGTCTGCATAATGAACTACATCTGCCTTTCTCCATTAATGTAGTCATCATCGGTCTCAGGATACAAGCTGCAGGGTCCCTTCTCATTTCTTTCCACTCTCACATTGGAATTGCGCAATATTAATTGTAAAACAATGTCAATCAAGTCTCAATTATTTCATGATTAGTTCAATGAGAGGCAGGATGCTAGACCTCTGGATACCCCTGCAGAACAAAAGAGACAAAGCACTTGTCTTACTTAGTGTAGAGCTGCACTCGCGTCTCGCGCCTGTCCTTTTTTGATACCCTGAAGTAAACAGATCAATCCTTCTTTATATTCTCAATGTATATGTAAATGCTGTCACAATAGGAGAGGCTTAAAAGCAAGCTATGCATCGAAAAACTTAGATCGCAGGTTCCTCAACAGTGCAATTACAAGACATTAAAAAAAGTGTATAACAAACAACAATTCACTTTGGGTTTTCGAACTTGGATTCGGTGATTGATTGCTCCACCACCAGATTTGTCTTTTGTCATAGGATTAAAATAGCACAATTTCAGCACTTAAACATTTTCAAAGTTTTGAATTCCGATTAATAGGAGGATAATATTAATAAGTCATTTCATTAGTATCACCCCTTGACATAAATAACACTGCCTGCATGAATAATATATTCAACTCTTTAATGAGCACAAGCTTTAAAATGGACAAACCCATTTCTCAGTTACACTTCTGCCTAGAATATGTAACAAACCTATGTAGCGATATGTCACGTCCTCTTAAAAGAATGAATGAACTTGCAGTGAACAATCAAGGCTTACGGACTTCCTTTCAAATTCATTTAGTGATGCTAGCAGAGAAAACTGCAGATTGGCATTGAATTTAGTGACTTTACAGCTTTTTTTCAAAGACACACTGTGTTGCTTTTTTAGGTTTGTGGATCCTTTAATTGCAAAAAAGTAATTGTAATGAAACCCTGTCATGGTAGGGTTAAAGTAGTAAAACCTGACTGCACTCACGTGAATGTCTTGTTGTTATCACTGTCATTTCCAATTCCCCACTCACAGTAAAGCTCACTGTGAACAGTAAAGAACATTCGATTTTTTCATGGTGCTGTTCATCATATGAAATAACGTACTTTTTTCAGATAAAAAGGACACCTGCTCCACTGGCTTGATAACAGCGGGGGAATGTTTTTCAAAAAGAATATTAATGCATTTTTCCTTCATATGCAGGTCACAAAGGATCATTCATTTGAGATTTAGTTGATCCATGCACTATAGAACATGTGAATTTCAGAAAGAATAATATAGTCGAAAAGAAGGCATCCCATGGGGAAGAAATGCTGTGAGATCAATCGTTGCTGCACGTCTTTCATTCATTTCATTTAATGGTTTATTTGAAGGGACAATGCACATTGATGAACACTTTCTCAGGAGAGTTTGCCTCAAAACTGCCATCCAATTTAAGATCTTTGAATACACCGATCAATATGTGGATATTAATTATTGCTCATCCACCCAAAGTCAGAAGAGTAAAAGAAAGCTGAGAGGGGATGCAAACTCTAATATGTTTTCCCTTTCTGCACTTTATTAGATTTCTTCTGAATAGGAAAATAAGAAATAAAGCCATTAAAAAGCTTCTATGTGGAGCAACGACCGCAGAACATTTTGTACCAATCAAGCTAAATTATGCTGAACAGTCAGCACAGCAGTTATGGCTGTTTATACCTACACACATCATAGGAGATGCCCACCAAACACCAGCAACTTATGTACCTTCATCTTGCAACCTTTTCCAGATGTTTGAATTTAAAAAAGCATAACAAATTATGCTTTTAGAACAAATATAAAGCTACCAAGCTCTCCTTTGTCTCTGCTGCAGCAATCACACTACCGTGAAATGCCCATTTCATGAGAAAACAGCACTTCAATCTTCAATTCAAACATGTGTACATCTGTCTTTAGCATAGAGCAAAATGGACTAAAATCACTGCAGCGCCTCAGTGAAAAAACTGAAAGTTGACATTCTCAGAATAAGGTGAACACTTAAGCTTTAACTTTACACCTTTAATCCGACACTTGAGCACTTATCTTTTCCAAGTAGCGGGCAGAATCAAGTTATTGCAAAATTCCAATTTAATGCCAAAATATTCATTAAGGTTTGCACTTTGCAGGCACTTGAAAGCCAATAATCAGAAAAAGCAAGCAAAAACATGCATGCCAACTCAAGGATGAGCTCTAACAGAAATGGAGTTCAACACCCCACTGAACAGATGCACTGATCTGTCAAGGTCTGCTCGGAAGAACCAGCTGAGCTGTCAGGCTAAGTGTGTGTGTGTGTGTGTGTGTGTGTGGTGTGTGTGTGTGTGTGTGTGTGTGTGTGTGTGTGTGTGTGTGTGTGTGTGTGTGTGTGTGTGCGTGTGTGTGCGTGTGTTCCTGATTAGTAAGCTCTTACAGCTGGAGGTGACAGAGTACGTGCTACAGGCTGCTACAATTGACAGCTTCTACATGTTACAGTACAGTAACCAATTGCAAATGAGCACAGGAACTACAAAAGTATATTCCTCTGTAGTCTCCGATAAACTTTAGCTCTTAAGGCTAAAGTTCTCCTTCTAAGACCAGTCAACTGAAAGCCCACATTTTCTCCAACAGACAGGCACTAACATTTTGTTCTGAAATAAAGTTGGAGAGTTGTGAATGAGGCCTGAATTGATTTATTATTGAGAATAATCCAAGTGTATACACAGATTCCACATTTCTTACACGCAGGCCACCGTCTGGAAAAGGAGCTGTTTGCAGTTTGTTGGTTAGCAAGTGTTATTTTGCGTTTGTATGTAATTTCAAGCTAAAACGGTCATCAACATTTCTTTATGCCTCTGAAGGCTTTGTGCAGGAGGTAATGATACATTGACGATGCCTAAAAAGCAAACACCTTGACATTTATATGCATTGGCAAAGCATTGTATGCAAAAAGTGTAATGTATTTTCAAAACCCTTAAAAAAAGGAAATTAGTTGTCAAAGAGTAAAAAACGACTTCTCTTACCGATAGTGGTGATAACAGTCCCAGCAAAGAAAAAGGAAGAACTGATGTCCCAGAGGCTCGTCTGATTAAAGGCATTTCCTGTGGGGTTCACACCTGCCCGGACTGCTGAAACCACTTGCTGGAGTGGAAAGATAAAAGGAAACAAAAGTTAGTACGTAATGCACTTTCTCCCAGTGGGAGTGTGCTGCGAGGTAGGCTGATTAGAAAATAACTGGCGTGCATCAATTTTCTCGGGGAATGGAGATGACAGGCAAGATAAACATCCAACAAAAACCAATTAAGAGTTGTGAGAAACAATAAGATCATCTGTCAAATAAAAAAAAAAGCATAATAAAGATCAAAATAGCTGCACATTTGAAGCATGCAACAGTTATATTGCTATGGATGGATTAAAATGAGGGTCTTTAAGATTTGGTGCTTTGAACATGTTTTATTCCAACCATTACTTTAAAATGATTTCCAAAAATGTACAATTACTGCAGCACACATGTGCATAGTCAGTCTATTTTCTACAAAGTCATTTAATTATCCTTTTAACACATTCACAAAAAATACTGAATGTAATTTAATCAGTTCACAAATCTTGTCACCATCATTCTGTCATTTAAATTCATAATCTAACCCAGCGTGGTTGCATGGAACATGCCCTCCTGGCTGGTCTACCTGCATGTGCAGCGGCTCGTCTGGTCTTCAACCTTCCTAAATGTTCCCACACCACGCCGCTCCTCCGCTCCCTTCACTGGCTTTCAGTAACTGCTAGAATCCACTTCAAGACACTGGTACTTGCGTACCATGCTGCGAATGGATCTGGCCCTTCCTACATCCAGGACATGGTTAAACTGTACACCCCAGCACGTGCACTCCGCTCTGCATCAGCCAAACAGCTCGCTGCACCCTCGCTGCGAGGGGGACCCAAGTTCCCATCAGCAAAAACACGTTGGTTTGCTATCCTGGCTCCAAAATGGTGGAATGAGCTCCCCATTGACATCAGGACAGCAGAAAGCCTGCACATCTTCCGAGGCAGACTGAAAACTCATCTCTTTCGACTCCACTTCGAGCAATACAATTACTAACAAAGAATTGCTAACAAAGCACTTATATACTAATACAGGACTGGCTTATCTATAGCCAGTTGAGTAGCACTTGAAATGTTTTGGCTCTATGAAACCTGATGTACTTATATGATTCTGTTTTCTTCAAGTTTGTATCTTCTTGGTCGAATGCACTTATTGTAAGTCGCTTTGGATAAAAGCATCAGCTAAATGCAATGTAATGTTCAGAAAATGGAAATCCAGCACTCAGGCTGCAGGGTCTAGATTGAGCATTTTAACACCATGAGATGACTGATGGTGTGATTTTGAGAAGCTTTGTGACCGTTGCTATGATGGGATATCTGGGTCAGTGTTGGGTTTATCAGTCTTGTCCAGGTAATTGGTTGACTAAGTGTGAGTATGTGGAAGACACAAGGTTTTAAAAGTGTCACAGCAGAGTGTGACGAGCCCTAGACACCAGCCAGCCAGCTGTACAGGAAGCAGATCAGCAGAGTGTTTCCCCACTCAGTGCTGCACTCGCATGACAGGAGACAAGAGGGGAGTGAAGCCAAAAGCTGGAAGGGAAACACACCACTGCACCACATTTCACACCAACCATCACCTAAAGATAGACGTGAGGAGCAGTGAAGAAGAGCCACACACTAAAAAGATATGCTGCCATACAGATACACTGGAGTGTTAACAGAGACTTTATAACAGTCTGTTGCGATAATATAAATAGTCTGGCTAACTACATTACCTATAGTAGTAACTGAGAATGACTTCTTGAGCCAAGGGGTCTGTCAGGGACAAGCAGTAAGGCACACATGTCAAACTCAGCCCGCAGGATAATTTTTAATTACTATTAGATCTGGCCCGCCGGTATATTGCACGCACACCTTCACTCAATCCTGAGGATTTCCTCAGCTCAGAGCCTGACCCCAAACATTGATGAACTTTCACCCAAGATGAGATGCCAAGTATCTGGCTTGAACTAGCATCACAGAGCAGCACACTGAGTTTCAATGGATGTTTCCTCTTGCCATTTTTTTTTGCGACAACAGGGCATGTTTGGTTTTTTCTTTGAGGGAAATCGTTTTTTTGAAGCTGTTGTTGGCCTGTGGGAAAATGTAATCATAAGAAATGACTCCGGAAAAGCCAACCTGATCTCACCAGAATGCGTGACTCCACCACGACTCCTTAACACCGCATTGCGTGGTGGAGTCACGCATTCTGCTACATTTACGTGTCGGCACCACGCAAAAAACCCCAATGTAAAGTGAATGAGGCTCTTTTGTCGTGGTGCACACACGCATTTCTACAACGTCCCGCAGTGAGCTTTTATTCTATAAAACATTTTTAAAATCTACTTTATAGCCTCACGGGAGGCTTCTTTTATTTTATTTGCATTCATAATCATTTTTATTTTTCGTCAGAATGTAAAAATTACATTAGTTACGAATTTTTGTTCTCAAAAAACAGTGCATTGTGTGTAATACAACTGTGATTTTTATTAAATTAGTTAGTTTTTAAGGAAGACCAGAGCTTCAGCTGTGTCCATAGATTGTTCCCTTTAGTTAACGTTATTTAAAAGATAATGATCATGTCCCCTTTATTGTATTACGAGCGTCCATTCCCATTGGATAACGGATAATTTTACACCCGGAAGTAAGTATTCTCCTTACTGTCGATTGATTTTACAGTGATATCTGAACTACTCATCAACTCAAAAACACCAGATTATCCTTGTTAATTACACAACATTGGTTGGTTTAAATTGTGTACAATGCTTTTGTATTTTTCCCCTTCGATTCGGAGAAACGAATATTTTTTCGGAGTTTTTGGATGGCAGAAGACACTACACTACCCAGAATCCTCAGCTATCGTTTGGGACTACACCATGTGCTTAGCTTGACAAACCCCTTGATCAGTCCTCAAGCTCTGTGATTGGTTGACCTCCAACTGCATTCCATATAAAAAACGTTTCGTAAAAGATCAAATCATACTTTATTCAGCAGTGCTTGCTTTACTCTTTGAAAGTCATCACATGAATGCATTGTAATAAATGGTTTGGCTGCATTAAATATTACACATCTATCGTAGTTCTTTATTTATCTACACTACAGAGATCGGGCATCAGAATAGACCGGAAACTATTCTTTTACCGTTCTGTTTTAATTTCACAATAAAGTTATTAGTAATCATCTGTTTTGATATTATTGTTTTTTATTAACTACTAGACCGCTGGGTCATGTTAAGACCATATTTTCTGTGTTGCTGTGGGTTTTTTCCATCGCTTTTGTGTTACAAATATCAAAACAATAACAAAATGTATCCGTCGTAAACTAAACCAGAAACAGCAGTATATTTTATTTTGTTAACACTTTAAACTTGACAGTTTTTTTAACCCGCACCTCCTACTGGTTAAAGCACGTTATTACACGTTTGGAGTAATTGCAATGCAGGAAGATTATGTTGCTTTTTAATGACTGTTTAAAATGACTTTTTCTTAATGTCTTTCATTTTTGTAAAGCACTTTTGAATGTGTTATATTTGATGAAAACATTTAAATATTAAGAGTACATACAAAATAGTGGGAAAGTAGAAGGTCAATGATATAAATATAGAATAGAAAATATCAAGAAGATACTGTAAATAATATCTACAATAAAACAGTTTAGTGCCTGATAGGAGGATGTGCAAAACAGACAAACTAATAAGGCTTTATTTAAACATTAAAGAATACTTTAGGCTAAGGTCTTCTTTTAAATAAGAAAAAAGCTTTGGGGGTATCTATCTACAGATACATATTAAGCCTGACAAAGTACTTAACGTCTAATATATTGCATGGTTTGTTTTGGAACTTGACAATCAACTTTCCTGCAATGTTAACTATGTTGAAGCATTTATTTTAACCGATATTATACATATTTATTATACTCTTATAAGATGTTAGATAGAATAATAAATGTACAGAATATGACAGTTTAATGGTGGAGGTATACACACATATTGATAGATGTCTTAATGCACTGTTGAGGAACCTGTGACCCAAGTTTTTCATTCATTGCATAACTACACCGTAGTTGTGATATGTCAATAAACCTTAGAAAATCTTGAAATCTTGAAAGGGATGTGCAAAATATCAAGTATATAGTCTTTAATGAACGATTAGAGAATAACGAGTAATGAATATGCTTTATACGGATCTGCAGATAAATGTTTAGTCTTCTCAAGCACCAACTATCAAATATCTCTCCTGATTGTTGGCACTTGACAATCACCTTCACTGAATTTACTCAGGTGTAACTAAAGTCTGATTTAAGGGTTGTTTATATTTCACATCATTAATCCAAATCTGTAAAGTAACTAAAATAAATGTAGTGGAGTAAAAACACCACGTTAACCTTAAAGAAAGCCCTCAGGATGATAAAAGACCCCCATCACCCCAGCCACAAACTGTTCATGTCTACTGCCGTCTGGCAGGCGGTACTGCAGCATCCGGACTAAAACCTCCAGACTCAGGGACAGCTTCATCCCACAGGCCAGAAGACTATTAAACACCTGAATTTAGAAACAACATCCATAACATTCATCTGGCTGCTACTTAGAAATTATTGATCTAATATATCATATTCACAATATAGTGACTGCTTTTTTGTCTTTTGTTTTCTTAGTTATGTTCTCTTTTATATGTGTGTGTTATGTGTTATGTGTAACGTTGCTGCCTTCTTTGCCAGGTCAGCATTGAAAATTAGATTGTATCTCAATGCTTTTATCTGGTTAAATAAAGGTTAAATACAAATGAAAAAAGATTCCAATCAATCTTGTATATAGACTCTTATTGCACTATTTCACTATTTTTTCTGTGTATCTGTTTTATTGTGTTGCACTGTTGGAGGAGCCTGCGACCTAAGGGGGGGTGGGGGGATAGGACACGTTCGATTCCTGTTTTGAATAGTGTGCCGTCAATGGGTTTCATTCCATTTCAAGGTGCTTTTTGACACTCCGTGTAAACTTCGCGCACTGCCACTCCAACATCCAATCACAGAGCTTGAGGACTGATCACGGGGTTTGTCAAGCTAAG